CTCTTTCTCTCTGTCTGGCCAAATAAAATAATAATAATAATAGTAACAAATGGAATTAAATAAATAAAATTTTGAGAGGTTTTTGCTATAGGGCACAAGTGCTCGCTGGACTCCCATGTAGTTGACTGCGGTTCTGGACCAAATCCTGGACTGAGTGGCTTAAACTCACGCTGGGCGCATGTGCACGCATGCCCAAAATCCCAAGAGGGGAATGGAGAAGAAGGGATTGCGGCATGGCCACCACCCCCAGGGGGTGATTTCTCGCATTCTGTCTCTCTCTGTCTGGCGAGCTCACGCACTCTATAGCAAAAACCTCTCAAAAAAAAAAAAAAAAGAAAAGAAAAAGAAAAAGAAAAACACAACTGTGTACACATGTACAGGTACATGTGTGCCCCAAATCCCAATGGTATGAATAAATGGGGACCAGCAGATGGCATGGTGATTAGAACACTGGATTCCCACAGGGCTGACCGTGGTTCAAGTCCTGGACCCGGCGGCATGTGTGCAGCACATGTGCATGTGTGCTGAAATCCAGAGAGGAGAAGGGATGGCAGTGTGGCCATCTCCCTGGTAGGGGAGGGGTGATTTCTCACTTTCCCTCTCTGTCTCTCTCCAGGGAGCACACATGCCCTACGGCAAAAACCTGAAAAAACAAAAAAGAACCAACTCAAACTCAAAGCCTAGAGAGAATGGCTAAGAACCACTGATGCCCCACTTGGGTAAGGGCTTCCCAGTCGGCATCAGACGACCTTCAGACCGAGCAGGTGAACGGAGGATTTCTGGGAATTTTTTGAATCCAAAAGCAGACAGCTTACCCAAGATTCAGTGGAGCAAGAATGAACTAAAGGCACGGAGTGAGCAGCTGATGGAGATCAGTCGTGGTAGACCTAGTGTGTGGCTAGGAACAGGGTTATATTTCATTCTTGTCCTACTTTAATAGATCTCGAAGGTGGTTCTTTCTCGGTCTTCTTGAGCTGTCTCCAGCCCTCAGTGTGGTAGATTTTACTTTTGTAAACTGAAACTAAACATTCTGAATGACTTGTCACTGACCCCTCATGATTCAGAAACCAACACTTTTATGGAATTGCCTTTCTTTCTATGACAACACGGTGACTTGCCTAGGTTTGGTTAACCAAGACCTAATTGAATCCATCAATTATGTAAGGAAGGCTCTGCTTGCAGTGTCATTTTATAGACTGATTCCCATTGAATTAGGTGTGACAAGCCGACTATAAGAAACGCTCATGGAGCCAATCCCTGAGGAAACTGGCCTGGAACCGCATGATACAGAAGGTCACTAGAATTTGGTTAGAAGGGGAACCTTAGAAAAATCAGGGACCTCAGGAGGAGAGGAAGTTTCTCAAGTGCGTAGGTGCTACAGGTCACATCTGGTGGAGAGAGTGTCTTGGGCTTGATCTTTCCAGCCGTAAGACCAAAGTGTGGAGACCAGCCCTTACCAGTTTGCCCGGACTGTCCGGTTTTAATGCTCAAAGTCCCATCCTCCAGGTTCCGCTTCAGTCCTTTGAAAATTGGGACAGTTTGTCACTCAATAAAAGAGAAAATTACAGAAGTGTTGTTGTTGATGTTGTTGTTTAGAGAGAACTTTTTGCTGTAGGGCATATGTGCTCACCAGAGAGATAGAAAGTGAAAAATGACCCCTTCGGGGGGATGGCCACACCACAATCCCTTCTCCTTCATTCTCCTTTGGGGATTTTAGTCATGCTACACTTACCTAGAATGAGGTTGGTTTTTTTTTTTTTTTTTTTTTGAGAGGTTTTTGCTATAGGGCACATGC